AAGATAAGATTGTCCTAGACTTCGTTTGCAAGAATCCCATATGACACAGCAATAACCTACAAGTAGATGCCATACGTGAAATATGGACTACATCAAAAAGACATACTCGAATTCCGTCCTACTCGCCATGTCACTAGAGCGGCAATTGGACGGAGCAAATGTTCGCCAGCGTGCTTCTGGAGTATACACGAAATGACCTCGATGCTTGACAAGGTTCTTGGGCAAAGCAGTGTCCTCGCGTAACCGTAGTCGCCTGTTGGCACGTTTCTACAATGACGGATCAGTATCAGCACCAAACATTTTCGAAAACCCAACGCCACACTGACCGTGTTGACCTTCAACTCGACCACGAGCGGGACCCTGCCGACATGCGCCAACGGGAAAAACACTTCCAAATTCGCATTGTTATGTTCGGGAAAGTATAAGCTCCTCCATTTCTCTACCCCGAAGTATCCCCTCGACCTCAACTCCACCCGCAATGTTGCGTTCGGCGCTGATCTCTCCAACTCGACTTCAAGTCTCTGCCACTGGGCCGCATTACGCGCAAATCGGTCCGTATCCCCAAATAACATTCCGGACACCATATAATGCGCGTGCGTTCCCCGACGCTGAACTCGGAACTCGGATAGGTTGGGAAACGAGAAGGTTTTAAATAGGGAACACCACCAATCGACCATTTCCTCAGGGAATGAGAAGAGATCTTCATAGTTACGGCTAACCGGGTACAGAGTAATGGAACGGAGGGTATTTTGTGCTTGACACAAGAACGACCGAGCGAGGGGGCCGCAAGTGATGCATAGGGAACGGAGTGTATCGGGGCTGTATGTGAGACCGAGGTGCTGAAGGCGGGACGTGGATGATTGCGTGCTGACAATTTGAGCGACATGTCTGAGGACATCGGGGGACATGGGTGCAACAATCTCGAGGACCGAGAGCTCGTTCAGCCGGAGAGGAGTGTTGTCACTCCTAGCCCATTTTAGTACCTTCTCTGTATGTAAGGTAGTTCCAATGAGTTGAAATGACCGTAGCACGTTGGTTGTGTCGGTAGAAATAAGAGGAGGTACGGGGAGTTGCTTCCACTCGTCGTTGGGCTCCTTCGCGGCCGCGTGGCCGAGCGATGCAATTGACAACTCAGTCAAATTCCCGCCACTCACGGCATGGTCGAGGAAATGGAGAAGATCGTCGGCGGCTTCAAATACAACATTCTCCAAAACCACCCTCTGAATCTTTGGTGACTGGACAGCTCTAACAAGGGCCTTACACGACGAGGGCGGAAGTCGGTGGAATATGAGGGGGTAGTTCTGGGAGAAGAGAAGGGAAATGCTCTTCAGATTGGGAAGTCGATGCAAGATGAGATGCAGGGGGGCGTCCTTTGCGGTATACCACGATCTGTAATCCGTGACGAGTTCCAGGCCCTCAATAATGAGCTCCTCCGTGAAGGCTCCAAGCTCTGGCGATACCTCGAGTAGGTCGGCGAACTGGCGAACCCGCGTAGAGCCTAGAGACATCTGGAATGAAATGTGCCGTCGGATACCCACACGCAATTTGTGAAATTGGCGGGTAATGTGGCTCTTGGGGTATTCCTCCTCACAAAGGCTGATAGAGGCGAAAAGTCTCCGACGGGCAGGGCCAACGAAACATCGAGCAGCGAGGGCACATTGGCGAACGGATGCTTCGTCCAGCTCGTCCACAATATGCTGGAGGAGGTCCAAAGGAAGTCGAATTTGACACGAGGATGTCGGCCTCGCTTTGCGCTATAGGTCATGAGGGCTCGAAGCCTTGGTACAAGAGGCTGTTGAACACACCTGAAAGCTTAATTTTCTCTGCACAACATCCAATCGCATACTTCTCTTCCTCAGCATGGGTCCAGGCGAGTTCAGCATCGTGTTGGGTGCGCCCATGGTGTATCAACGGAAACGCGGTAGACTGTCCCAGAGTTCTCGATTGGCGTATTTATATGGGATGAGACGCCCGACTATGTTTAATATCTGGGTTGCTGGATGTCAAGACTATGCCAGATAGGGAATTGACGCACATACCGCGGGCAGGATATCTTTAGTCGCTGATCCCCTTGTTGATGATGCTACTGGGGTCATCGGGAAGAGCGGTGAAGAGTTGGAATTGCCCGCTAGATAGAGAACTTGGAAAGGAGGGGAATGAAAGTGAGAAACTCGGCCGTCCGGGATGAGACGAGGACTCACAAGCTCTGCATTATACCTCGATCATGTCAAATAAGACACCCGGTCCTCGTCGTCTCTTCACGATAATCACCATCTTCACCGCCATATTCCTTGTCCAGCAACTCCTTCGAACCTCTGTCGTTTCGTTCTCTCGCCCGAGCACGATTTATCCGCATGGTCTAGCAACGAAAGTCTCCAAAACCACTGTACAAATCGAAGGCCAATGGAAACACGTTCGTCAATCGCTCGGATTGCCTCTACTTCCGGATGTAATTGCTGTTGAAGATGATGGCGCTGGAGTAACGCGTACTGACAGTGAATCGGTCGCCCCGCCTCGCCTTTTCAGGTTCAAGCGCTCGAATGCTGTAGAGCTCGCTGAAACTCCCAAGATGGTGCCTCTGACAGAGCTGTACTTCGCTCAAGACGCCCTGCAAGAACAGAAGATATCATATGAAAAGTTGCGAGAGAGCTTTCGATTGAACGCAATGAAAGGAAAAGTGGAACCTGAATCGGATCTTCAAGCAAGACGTCGCAGGGGATACAAGGGACGACGGCCATGGCCAGTTTGACGTGTACGTCGGCTTTGCTCATACCGTATATTACTTCAGCTCATCGATAATAGGCTACATGCAGCGAGGCTCAGTTCAACGTGATGACAACCACCAGACTGAATTCCAAAGACTATTCGACGTTTTATTTCGCATAAGTTACATATTGTACACACTCTGGTCACTGCTTCTTCCAACTAGATAGTACTAGAGAAGTTGTGATAGTCAGTACCGATTGACACAATGGATCGTGAAGCAAACAAGGAAGAGTCAGACATCCAAAGGAAGGACATTATAGACCCTCATCGCGCCTACCCCCGCTTCCCGCCAGCGCAAACTCCAGAGGAGCCGGCCCACGCTCCACCAATGTCTTTTGGGTTCAACACGGTATTGGAGGGGGAATATAAACGTTCCGCATTGGGGGAGTACTAAATGGACGCTAGAGTGGAAACTGCGAATGTAACGGAAAATTTCATCTTGCGATGGGAGTGGATTGGAGGAGAAAAGGACAACGGACTCACCGAAAGCGGAACAGTGCGGGCCAAAAATCTTGTTACAAAGACTCGCAAAAGCCTGTAATATGTTGATTAGCATGATGTCGGGAGGGGGAAGGCAGAAAAAAAGTAAGGAAGGATCAGACTAAATGGCACTGGCAAGTGCGCTATGCATCCCGAAGGATGCGTATCTGTTGCGAACAGATAGCCTCTATTCCTCGGCATGGTCGTGTAGGACGGGGAAGAGAATAAAGTCATCACGGAAGGATGTGAAATAATATGACAGGAAGGAGATACTCACCAGAGGGAAACATGAATGAGAAAAAGATGGTGAGGGACGAAAAATTTTATACAAGAGGGTGGTTTGGCTCTGTTTGCGACTATATCACGTGCATAGAAAGTGCACGCGTCGCGACTCTGGAGACACAACCTCAAGAACTCATTCATGTGTTGTATGTCTCGACGCTGACCTTAGATGGCCGAGAAAATGTTTGTTCAAATATTTTTTTGATGAAGAAATGTGTCTGTTGAGGAGCCCATGAGCCAATTGGAGGTAAAGGCAGGTTTCCGAGTCTAAACTTCAACTCAACCAGAGGTTGTGGCGGCCTCGCTTTCTGAAGCGGTACGACGAATGTCCGGCCGCCGCTATTGGATCTAGGCATACAAGCAGGTCATTGTGACCCTTTTGGGCAGTCCTTGCGACTTGTCTTCAGAGTTGCCCGAGGGTTTGGTCGTAAATTCATTCTAGTCTCCGCCCTCGAATGAAGTTCAACTTCGAGGCTTCGGAGGCTTGCGCTTGATAGAGATAAATCTATCCCAGAAATGTCGCCGAAGGCTAGCTAATACCAATACAAATATTCGATTTTTTGAGAAACCTACACACCCGAACTTCCAGAAGTGTGTTCAGCCCTATTCCTGCAAACTCGTGCTTTGGAATCTTTTGGAATGCGTGCTGTTGATCGAATCGCGGCTCTGCACTCCATGGAAGTACGGGGGTAAGACCGGGGGTACAACCGCAAATACTTGTTCTCCACCCCCTCCAGTGCTTTGCCACGAATCTTCTGACCCTTCAAACTTCCTGTAACCAAAAACAAAATAAATATTGAGACCCGTAGGTCTACCACTCCGGAAAAGCGTGTCATCCTTGTGCAGGGGCCATGCTAATCTTCTCTGTATTGTTCCAATTTGTAATATGTCATCCCGAAGGAGACATTGATGTTCTGAACGAGGTCCGGAGTCATCTAAACGAATTTGATTAGGTTGCGGAAGCGTGCACGGGCGCCTGTGTTGCTTGCGCGGAGAGGCGCTTGAGCGTGGGAATCTGGTTTCAAGAGAGGAAATTTACTGTCTTGTTCAAGAATCACTAAAAACGTCTCCACCTCGTCTCCCTCGGATATCTTCCTATCACCATTTGAATGGGCGAGCTCAAATCCACAAGTCTTTGGCGGACTTTCTTGGACGCGTGATATAGTTTTATGCTTTTGTACTTGTTGGGATCATGGAATTTATGTGGCTATTTTTCTCGAGATACTACGGTCGGATGCGACCCGAAAACTTGCCCGATCAGTGGAACCCCTAGGCTCACGAGCTCGACTCGAGCTCCTCGAACGCGTCACGACGATTGGGCTGCAAAGTTTCTGGGTCACTTTCACAATCTGGTTTCATGAGCGGTCCCCTGAGATGGATCCAAGACGATATACCCTGAAATGACATTTGTCTGGCCAGTCAACGTCCGACGCCCAGTGCTCAGGCTATCCCCCGCCTCGCTGTTCTATATCGGGCACATGGTGTAGGGGTTATCACATTCGCTTTGCACTGGGTCTGACATAGGGCATGCGAAAGGTCTCCGGTTCAATTCCGGATGTGTCCAGTGAGCTTGGGCTTCAGTTTTTGAACAGTTTTTGTGTAGGTCAGAAAGGTGATCGGGTTGCAAGGTACTGACTGCCACGAAAAACAAAGTCCCCTCGGACTGCGGATTCCGCGCTCGAAGAAAAGGTGGTCGAGGCAAATGTTGTAGCGTGGTGGTACAAGCATTGGTCGATTGCATCTACTGAGAAGGGCTAGCACAGTAGCTACTAGCTACAACGAATCAAGATCTCCATTGAATGTTGAGGTGATGTCAGGTTGAGTCAGGTTGCGCAGGCGCTTGAATCGTCTGTGAATTACCCATTGCAGTATAAGCCGTTGTAAAGTGCGACGCATACCGCCCGCCTCTATAAGGCAGATAGAAGGAAAACAAGGAGGAGGCGGGAAGGCAATGTACTCGGGCCAAGGCACAGGACCCAAACGAAGTACAATGTCCGCGTCAAAAAGGTCCAAGCAGAATACCCTGGGGAAGCAATTAC